CCCCAAAACCCCAAAACCCCAAAACCCCTATGAGTAAATTATTTGAAATTTAGAGTTGTTATAAATAAATTTTAACAAATATGCTAAGCTTGTCCAGCTAATTAAGATTAAAGAACCTTCTAATGAGTCTTGCAAAGCACGAGCAAGAAATTGAAAAGATCAGAGTCTAACTAAATAAAATTTAGGAATTTGAGCCTTACTGTGCTTATCGAATTATAGACACTATTAACAAGAAGGAGATCCATCCAAATGACCTATACTATTTTTTCACGTAAGCAACAATTACAAATAGGATGTTTGAATTATTTATATAGGCAAGTTAAGAGTCAAAATCTGACACTAGCAGATATAGAGTTGTACATTTCTATTTATGACGGCGAGAAGAAAGGATATCTGGACATTCATAAGTAAGATTATTATCAAATTCAATTGAATTTATTAGTTTCAATCACTGTTTCCTGCCAAGATCAGACCTTGATCTCAGAGAATATGTTTCATTAAAGCCTATCTCTGACTAAACAGCTAGAATTAGCTTTGAAATTCATTAATAGATGGTTTCATTGCTGGCCTAAATAATTCAAAAGTAAAATCTTGGTTATAATCATTTAATTTTTTAGAGAAATTCTTTATCATCAAACTGAATTCAAAAAGCTTGTTAAAATGCTCATGAAAAGAGATGATTTTGATATGAAATCAACGATAAACTCCCTCATCAGAAAAGGCCAATTTTACTCTGATGATATGCCTTGCTACATAGATTAAAGCGGACTCAGATATTTCTTTAAGCGAAATGGGTTTTATGCAACCTCTGATGACCTTAATTCTCTAATAAAGAGATTTGATCTCAATTATGATGATATAATCTCAATGGAGGAACTGGCTAGGTATTTCATGCTCTTTGAAAAGAGTGGAGATCCTCAAATAAACAGATTATCTGCAAACGAAGGCTATGAAACTCATAGAGTGCTGAATATTCCAAAATCAGTTTAACATTCAGCACTTAAAGAAAATTATTATTCTTTGGGAGGTGACCCTTCAACAAAACACTCTAGGGAGAGTTCGAAAAATTTAAATAAAGATATAAAAAATTTGAAAAACACAAAGAAAAGAACAGAAAATCCGCTTTAAATATAAGATTTGAATTCCTACAGATCAGCTTTGCCTTCTAACCGATCATCAAAAGATCACTTATTGCCTAATTAAAAAACTTAATCAAATAAGCTATCAATAATTAAAGCCAACATTCCCCTTAGTCCTAATTTTTAGTAATAATCATTAATGTCTACAAGGAATCATGACATGACTCTAAAAAAGAAATATCCTAATTTAAATGAATTTGAAACTGAAACAAATGCTAAAACAATAGTTAAATTTGCCAAGAAAACCCGGATGAACGAGGTTTTAGACAATTGCTAAAAGATTATTCATGAGCTTGATGTAAATTTGGAGAAATTTAAATGCCAACTAGCATTAAAAGTAGATTTTAACCTCAGAGATTTTTTTAAATTCTTTGACACTGGAAATAAAGGATTTATTGATCATTATGATATTGAAAAAATTTGTAAATACCTTAGCATTAAATTAAAAGACGGCATTGAGATAGACTTAATTAGGAATTTCATAAAGACGTATGATAAAGACTATGATGAGAGACTCTTATTCACTGATATTGGAAAGGCTTTCCTTTCAAAGAAGCAGTAATACTAAGAATTAGTTGTAGATAGGCCTTCCTATTACTCAAATGCAAGAAATTTTGAAGAAGTATTTTCATTAGAGACTCAAAAATTAATTGGTCAAGTTTTGAAAATGCAGTTTTACATAGAGAAACAAAATAGTGAAATGCAAAGAAAGGCAGAAAATGTTGACATGCTGGATGAAGACTTTGCCTTAGCTTTCTAAAGCATTAATTCGATCAGAGACTGAGATAATAGCAAAATTACTTTATATGTGCAATACTATTGATTTTAAACTAATATTAATTTTAAGTATTTGTTTTGGGGTTTTGGGGTTTTGGGG